ATACTCCACACGGAAAAAAATAATATATACAATAAAACTATGAATAATACCATACTTATAATAAATATTTTAAAAAATAATCTGTTCGTATACTTAATATGTTTAATGGGCTTTATTAAGTATACGAAAAGTGGTTGAAGTACGATAATAAGTTGATAGGTTTTTGTAAATATCTTTTCTTCTGTTTAAAAATGCAAGTTCATAAAACGGGAAATTAAATCGTTGAAAAACTATATCTTACACATTTAAAATACAGACCCCGACTGATTTTACTTAAACATTGCAATTTAGGGTATCTATTAGTCTGGCAGACACGACCAGAAATTTCTTGTTTGTTTTAGATTTAAATATCTTAAATTGCAAGTCATGGCCAGAGTGAAATGAAATCAAAGCGAAATGTTAATTAGTACAAATTCGATGCGATACAAATACATAAAGAGCTTTTGGTCTTTGCATGCTAAAGAGTGCGAAAGCTCGTTTGTTGGCCTAGTTGTCATTTAAGCGTGGGCAGGCGGGGCGTTGCTGTGCGGGGTGTGTGTGTGGGTCGAATTACATATGTTTGTTAAGGACGAGGCTGGCTCCGCCGTTTATAACGCGGCAAACAAACACTTGTTTGCACAGCAGCGCAAACAAAGAGAGCAACCGAGCGACAGCGACAGCGAGAGCGAGAGAGAGAGCGCGTGAGCGCGAGTGCTTGTCGTGCTGCAATGTAAACTGTACATACAGACACGAACACATGCCTGCTTACAATATGTATGTGTGTATGTGTGAGTGCCGGTAGAAGCAATTGCAACTAGGAAGCAACGACAGCATGCGCGACGCCAGCAGAGAAGAGCAGAGCAGAGCAGAGCAGAGCAGAGCAGAGCAAAGCAGCGCAGCGTAGCGCAGTCGCTGCTTGTTTACTTCGTTTGTGCGTGTGGGCGCAGAGCAGAGACGAGGAGAAATTAAGTCGTGTGGGGGCGGCAAAGAGACCTGACCCGAGCAATAACCAAGTCAGCCCAATCCAGCCAGCGCAGACGCCAGCGACAGCAGGCAGCGGCGACGATGCTGATGACGGCGACGTCAGCGTTGCTGAAGGTCATTATGCCGACGTTGGCGTCGCTGCTTCTTTTGAGCTTTTCGCGCTGCTTGTTGTTGTTGTTGTTTTTTTTTTTTTTATTGTTGGACTTCGGTTGTGGAATTGTGTAAACATCAGTGGCAGCGACGACAAAAACAAAGGCAACGCAGGCATTCCAAGTAAACAACGTTATTTTTTGTTTTTTTTTTTTTTTTTTTTGCTTTGCGCCAACGCCAGCCCCTGACAGAGGCGAATGCAAGAAAGTTAAGTCATGGAAGGGGGAGGGAGGTAGAAAAGCGGGTAGGAGAGGTTGGTTGGTTGGTTGGTAGGAGACAACAACAGTGTCAGAGCGAGACAAAAGGCAAGGCRAGCAGCGCAGACAGACAGACGAAAGCAGGGCTAATGAAGATGAGCCCCATGTGCTGTTTCGTTGTTATTGTTGTTTACTTTTTTATTTATTTTTTTTGCCGATGGTCGCTTTTGTTGCTGAGCTACAAAAATATGCAAAAACGACAGCAGCAGCAGCAACAACAACAACAACGAGGCGAAATATGCAAGGCAGCCAATACGCAAATAGAAGCAATGAACTTAATTATTTGCTGCCTGTTGTCGCACGGCTTAGCGAAAGGGAAGGTGAGACAGATAAATACAATGTTATACGTATGTATGTATGCATATTAATACATATAAATATACATATGTACATATATATACATACATATAAGTATGTATAATATACTTAATTACTTAATTGCATTTATAACAATTTATAAACACATATATACATACGTATGTATGTATGTATGTATGTATGTATTTATGTCTGTCTGTTCATATACAAAGTACTTAATTCTGTATAAATTGTGTGCACACACATTTATAAAAATGTGAATAACTCACCATATGCGTATTTATTTCTGCATATATACAAATGAACATATGTATGTATGTATGTATGCATGCTCATACATACACATCCATATGAATAAAACAGTGCGCAAATTGCATATTTTGAATTTAAGTATTTTGCGCAGGCGTATTCAAAAACAAAAACTTGTTAGCAGCATTTCAATTTGGACTAAATACGCATGCACTTAAAAACATACATATATACAAGCATAAATACATACATATATGTACATGCACATAAATATCACACTCATACATATATGCATACTTTAGAGTGATGCAAACATCTAAGAAAAAAACAAAAAACAAAATTATTCTCAAATTAAGTGCTGACTGATAAAGCCAGCTAAATTACATACATAGATATGTATTTATGTCATATGTTATATGTTACTTAAAATTTAGCATCAATATAATACATTTTTTATGAATTATATTTCAGCTCATGTTTTGTTTTGTTCCTTAAAAAAAATCAAGCTCAAAAAATCAAGTTTTTAAATTTCACATTCTTATTCAAATGTATTTAGTTAAATAATCCTATTTTAATTATTTTAATTCTTCATTCATATACAATAATAAATTCAAATGTAGATAAATGATAAGCTTTTGTATAATTTTTCTTTTTAAAAATATACATAAACTTTATAATGTTTACTTTGATGTATTAAATATAAAAAATGCTAGGAATTAGTCTATAGTTTGAGAAAATCTATACTCGTTAGAATTTCCATGGTCTATATTAATATTGTAAATAATAAAAAATTAATGAAAAATCCTTTTTCTGATTACATACTTACTAGTAGAAAGCAAAACATACTTAAGCAACGAATCTTAAAATTTCAATAAATCCATTATAATTTCATTTAGTACTAATATAAAAGTTAAGATAAAATAGTGACAGCGAGAAAAGAAATCAAATATTGTATTTTAATTAATTAAGAAAAAGTTAAGGACGCTTTTATTGCTGATCATCCAAATATTTGCAATTCTGTTTAGAAATACATCAGCATATTTGTGATTCTCTTTGTTTGCTTATTATATACAAAGAGTAAACACTCCAAACTGAAGTTACCAGCAAAATCAAATGCAAGCAGCATGCAAAAATCAACAGAGATTTATTTGCTGAATTTCTTTGTCCATGCGCCTGATTGTATGCAACACTTTTGACAAGGAATTGCGCCTTCTTACTCTTACAGAGCGCAAAATAAGAATAATGATAGAATATTATAATATACATATTATTAAAAGAGTACCTCAGACATATTTATCAATAAGAATTATTGGCTTCAAACTTCACTCAGTAACGGTCTCTGAATTTTGTTGTAATTTCCATTTGTAGAATTTAATTTGTTTTTTCTTTTTGGTCAAAACAAGTTGCATTATAATTTCTGTTGTTTGTTATTATTTGTTTAATGTCGAACGGCTGTCCATGTTGACATTGTTTTCGAAGAGAAAAGTACGCGTGTTGCTATTGTTGTTGTTGTTGTTGTTGTTGCTGTTGTTGTTCTTGTTGTTCTACTTTTTGGAACAGCAATTACGAACATGACGTGAACTCCCCCTTGCAATTTTCACATTCGTTGACTTCGCTCTGCCAGCCCTTGTATAATATTTTCTGTTCATTCAGCAAAATGTGCTTTCTTGTTTATTTTTTTTTAAATACCCTGTACTTTTTTGCGGTGTATAAAGTGGGTATGATACTTTGTAAAAGAGAATACAATATATTCATGTCTGTCTTTATAGAAATCTAAGAGCTACATCTCTACACTTTGATGTTTGTTACCTTTCGTTAGTTGCTTTTAGTTCGGCATACCCGAGTGGAATATTTCTTTGATTTTTTGCTTGCATTTCGGTTGTAATTTTGGAAAAGTACAACTGTTAACAATTACATTGACATATAAACACTTCAAAGCCAAATTGCAAACGTAGCTCTTGTCCGAGAAATTAATTAATTAAGCATTTTTTGCATAACTGTTCTCCCAAAAAAAAGAAGAAGAGGTAGAAGACGAGACTCACGTGCACCTTGCGTGGGTGTTTAATAGTCGGTGAGCTTTAACCTTAGTCGAGTTTTGAGTATTACTTACCCGTAACTGTTGCAGTTGAGGGTTAGCAGTGGGCGAGCCTTGAAGGTTTGGTAAGTTCTTTTTTTTTTTTTTTCTTTTTTCTTTTAAAGAAGCTTTGATATTTTTATGAAGAATTTTTGAATAATTTCTTAATTCTAGATCTTTATTTATTATGTATTTAAAGGCCAGAAAAGGTAAATTTAAGAAATTCAAACTTTCAATATATTAAATTATATTATAACAATATATAATTATAATAATATGTACACCATAATTTATAATATAATGCCAAATCCTATAATATGTGTATACCTTTACTTATTCGATAATTACCGGAATATGCTCCATTTTACCTGTATTCGATTGGGTACACAAGACGGTCAAAGCAACAACAAGGTCGTAGGTATTATTGTAAAATGCTTATTTACGCATACAGTTGCCTTAGAAGCCGTCCTGAAGGGTAACGGACGTGACAACCGTTACAGAGCAGCGCACGACGAGTGAGAAGGACAAAGCAAATGATGACAGCCCCCTGGCAGAGAGACAGAGAGAGAGGGAGCGAGAGCGAGATCGGTATTGAATTTGTTTGCAGAGCGCACAGAGCAAAAGCGACACACAAATACAAATAGAAATACAAATACCAATACCAATACGCATACACACGCACACACACATACTTCTGCATATGTACCGTGTGTAAGTTGAACTGTTTTAGTGTGTTTGGCCTGGAACTCAAACTTGAATTCCATCCGCCGCCATTGTTGCCCAGGCAGTGCCCAGTGCTGGGTGCATTTTCAATTTCGTTTTGTTGTGCCCCAAAAGTTTGTTGAGAACATTTGCAAATGTTTGTTTTAGCTAACGGAATTTGCTTCGTTTGCTTAATCATCATCATCATCCTCATCATCATCATCGTCATCGTCATCATAATTATCGTTGCATTGCCTTGTTTTGTACAATTTCATTTGGCTGTTTGTGTGGGTGTTTTGCTTTGGCTTCTTTCATTCTTTCATGCCCAATGCCCTTTTCACTCTACCGTTGTTTTGCTTGCTCCTTGTTTGCCATCGTTGCCGTTGCTGTTGCCGTTGTTGGCATTGTCGTTGTCGTTGACGTCCGCCTGCTACTTCTGTGTAGTTTTGTTTATTTTATTTGTTTTGCTTTGTTTTATTTTTGTTTGATTTACGTTTGCCCGTACCGTTGCCAGTTACCCATCCCCACCCACATTTTCGTTTTGTTTTACTTGTGTTGCTTCTGCCTCTGCCTCGGCCTCGGCCTCTGCCGCTGCCACTGTTTCTTCTTCTCCTTCTTCTTCTGTTTTTTTTGCTTTACTACTAAGCTCGCTCCCTAGCGGTGTGCGACGAGGAGTTTTGCTTTAGTTTGTGCTGCTCATCCTATGGCACTGCCACACTTCGTCTTCCTCTTCGACTTCATTTGTATTGTTTTTCTTTCCATTTCAGTTTCTTTTTTCGTTTCTTTGTACACAAATACATAGGTACTGTATTGGCTTAAAGTTTGTTTTACTTCTTTGTCGTAAAGTCTATGTAGTAGTAGTTGTCGCTGTTCTTACTTTTTTTACATTCATTGTTCCTGGCAACATTTCTTTGCGATTTTTATTCGGGGGCCTTTTTGGGTGGTTCATTTTTTAAACTTGGATACAGGACCAGAATTAGGCGGATGTTGAGATAAATAGACATGTCTATCTATTAACACATAGATGAAGTATTTATGTATATAAAGATATTATATACATATGTACATATCTATGCAATATATATTAGGACTTAATTTGTATTGATTGACTATTTGGTCCTAGTTCCAGTCCAGTTCTCAATAAATTCTAAGATGTGACTTTATGAAAAGATAAATGGATTATATGTATAGGACAATAGGTTTCACTTATTCCAGGCTCTAATAAAATTTTCATTGAAAAGCCTAGAGAAAAACAAAAATATTCTAAAGGTAGGTAAAATGTTTTTTAAAGGTTGTATCTTGGTAGGTGCAATGAACCAAATTGAAATACAATATTATCATATAATACTAATTTAAATGAGAAATAATAGTAATGCAATCCAATCAATAAAAATCCCAATATATTCGTTTATCAAATACTAAAGTTTGGAATTTTACGATTTCCCTGAGTATAATGTCAAATTCGTCTACATCTTATTATTATATCGAAATACCTTTGTCTGTACCAGTACCATTTATACTATTTGGAGCAGTTAAATAGCATACTTTCTAGAATAAGTATGTATAGACATAAGTAAAAGTTTTAAGAAAAAGTTTGGATTCGAAATTATTTGTATATTGAAAATTGTAGAGGTATAGCGTATATAAATAGTATGGCATTACCAAAGAGTAAGGAATGGTCGCGTTCTTTGATTTGCAGACCCAAGGATAATTTGACCACTGAGGCAGGGCTACGTGCTCAGCATCATGTCATGGTGTCAAGCCTGGAGCGAGAGGTAAATGTTCTAATGAAAACTCTATCGAACTCACATTACTAATCTAATAACTCTGCTAGTGTGTACCTGGTACGATGGCAATGCTCATTGGCATGGAGTATGCGCGAATATGGTTGAAAGATCGGGAGGCGTTTCAGAAGAAGCGCGACGATTCGAAGGTTAAGTTCATTAAGAACGACTTTGATTGGTGGCTCAAGCTGCGCAAGACTAACAGGTGTTTCTGTTCCATCTGAAAAGCTGAATCATTTATTCAGCGAAAAAGCTCGCCACTTATAACGGTATTATCAAAGACACACACCAGCTCAATGCAAGCTTTCGACTATTATGTATATTCGCAACATTTTCTTAAGTGGTAGTTACCATGCCTCGAGTCCGCTGCATTTAGTTAGTGCGTATAAAATTTATTTATATTCATAGATCCATAGAACCAAGCTTACATACAGAAATTGGAAGTAAATAAACGCATTCTCGTTAACTGCTCAATTTCATTGTATTATGCAAAACGTAACAATTTTAATGTTGTCAAAGTCCAGGGGAAGCGGTAAAACAGCTGTTGGCTCTGCCGGCAGCAAAAGACGAGCAAAAAAGAAAAAAGCTTTTGCCGTCAGCCCTCACACAGGTTGCGGTCACGAAAGAAACTAAATACATAAGTATGTATGTATGCATGTACATATATTACCGTTGCCTGCCTGCCTTCGTGCTTGTTGTTGAGCCCTTTCTCTCTCTCTCTCTCTCTCTCTCTCTCTCTCACCCAGTTGGCGAAGTTTAGCCACCCACGTATAGAAGAATTTGCATGCAACTTGTCGGCACTGCTCTTGCGCGTTGCCGCTCCCACGCAGTAGTGCTGTGTGTACAGGCACTGCTATCGCCGCGGATTTAGCTTCGTGTGCTCATGTTTTTCGGCTCTCTGTTCGCCGTTCGCCGCTGGCCCGTTCGCGCCGTTCGCTATTCGTATAGGCGTGCTTTGGCTCGTTTGCAGTTTTCCATGGTGCCCCAGCGTCAATCAAAATCAAACGGTTGCCGCGTTTGGGTCTTCGTGTGTGTCGCCTGTTGTTTGTGTATATTTTCACTTGCTTTGGTTAATGTTCAAGCAAATGCCAATCACTAGTACAAATCAACTCGAATTGCAAATGTAATGCGCATTTTGTAAAGGAATTGCCAAAACAACTAAAGTAGAAACAAGCGTAAGAGAGAGAAAGAGAATAAACAGTGCCATACTAAAGCAATAACAAATTGTTGCCGTTACTTCGGTAGGTTTGTTTTCTTCATGTTTCGCATTCGCGTTTGTGCCGTATGTGCTTTGAAATTTGTGCTTGTGTGTGTATATATGTAAACGTGTCTATTCGTGCGCGTGTGTGTGTGAGTATGGGCTATTGTGTGCGAAATAACGAAAACATTTTTCTGCCCTCTTGTTGTTGCAGCAACTGGTAAGTCAAAGGCAAAACTATTACAAATTGCATTTTAAATAGGTTTTCCATTAAATGTTGCATTGCTTTCATGCTCAGCAGCAGCTGCTGTATTTTATGATGATTTTTATGCGGCGTATTCGATGTAAATGGCAACAATATGTTAGCTTTGCACTCACGCACACGCGTGYAAATGTCTGTATGTGTGCACACACACACAAACCCATACACAGACATGAATGCATACATGCCAGCACTTGTTTATGTACATATGTATGAATGTATGTGAATTGGCAATAGTTTGTGGCACACAAAGCAAAGTAGAGAAACAAAACGTAGCAACAACAACAACTACAAAAGCTAGCCAGCAAGTGCATTCAGCGAGGCAACACAACCAGTTGACGCAGCAACAGCAGCAACAACAACAACAACTACAAATAGTGCCGGGGCTTCGCAGCGAACAGAGCAGTAACGCTTTCTTACTCACCACGCGCGCATTGGCAAAACTAAATCAGTTTTATTTTGCAGTGTATTTTGCGCAGCGCTGTCGACGTTAACGTAAATTGCGCTGCTGTTGCACGTCTTACGTTTTTATGTCTTGGCATTTGCACACACACAATCCCATAATTGAAAAAAGCATATGTTCACGTGTACGTAGCCAAGTGCATAATCATGTGTCTGTGGGCGTGTGTGTGTGCAAAAGTTTTTGTTACTTGGATTACTTGTTTGCTGGGGAATTAAAGCTTTTACGCACTTTCGCGGTCTGTGCGCTGTCTGTGCATCCGTTTGGGTTTTGATGACAGCTAATTGAATTTCCACATTTTTACTGCATTAACGCTAATTTTTGTGACAAGTTTTCCATGGCATATGCTTGGCAGACGTCGTTCTGTCTCTCTCTCACTCTGAGAGCTTATGAAAAATATTAAAAGCTGAAAATAAACTAATGAGAAATTATAATATTTGATGTTGAAACCAGTTATAAAATACATATTATTTGATTTATTGCTTTATTTTTAAAATTGAATAGCAATTATTAAATAATAGGGGTTTATTTTTGGTAATTTATTTTTGAAATAATATCTTTGAGGTTTAATATACTTCAATCTTATTCTGTATCAACTTTTGATTGAATAACTTGAAAAGATGTACGTTATTACTATTTGAAGTTTTTTTAAATGATAATAAAAAAGTTGTGCAGATTGTTTGCTCAGCAAACTGTAATGTCTATATAAAATCATGAAGTGGGTTAATTTCGTTGTTGAGTGCGAAAGTTTTAAGTTTTACCCGAATGTATGAATATACTTGAAATATGCCATTACAAAATTAGAAGTTGGTTGGAACTTAGTTATGGAATAGCTGTAAAAGTGTTTATTTTATATATAT